GTGGATATTCGCTCGAAGTTGCTGGTTGGCTGAATCAAACACAAATATTATTCTTCATAGAAAACTGTATTTTACACCATTGATCAAGTTGCAAAAATAAAGTTAAACAAGGGGCTATTATAATAAATGCCTTTGTAAAGCATACAAAGACAAAGTATAAAGTGTATAGCATTGACACCATGCTGGTATCCAAGTAGAATAATATACCAACAATCAAACATCAAAACAAAACAATCCAACTCACCAACAAGTGCATTCACCTTTCTCACCTAAACAGCCTTCTATCAATATATACATCATTCCAGTCTATGCCTAGCCTTGGGTATGACTGTATTTGTTGTTGTTTATTTCAAATCATTAAACCCCACTCAAAAGCACATAGCCGAATCTTTATGGACAATTTTACCAGTAAAAATGTTTTAATTGGGTTAACACTGATGTGATGAGTAAGTTTGAATAAAATGTTTTTATGATGAACTCTTTTTGGGCTGTATATTTTTACAAACTTGATTTGATTTATTCTTCAGATCTTTAAAAAAACAGAAACAAATAAACATGAACAGATCGAATCACAAAAGAGGGGATTAACCCCTAAAATTGCGAAAGATATTTCAATAGTGAACTAACATGAAATGTAAGTTGCTTTCTAAAGCAACAGTATGCTATGTTTGACATTTTTATAGATACGCCTACAGGGGTGGGTTAGAAGGAAGGCCAAGCATAGGCCACTGTGCAGCCTATGAGCAACATGATGGCAATTTTGTTACAGCCAGTGAAATAATTAAATTACATATGCTTATTTATTTTATCACAGAAGTGTGTGTGTATATAATAAACTTTAATATAATAATCATAACACTTCTATGATTTTTTTGTGTTTCTCTTCTCCTGGGCCCACCTAGGCTTACCCCTCCCCTACTCCCGATGATTGACCAAGGCTATTTTTCATTATCGTGGTCGTGGTATTGAATACATGAATGTAGTAGCTGAAGGTTTGCAGATCATAAAGTACATCATAGACCTAGGCACAGACCCGCATGCACTTCAGTAAACACAAACAAGTGCAGAGATCTACTACTAGCCTAGGGCCTAGCTAGGCCACAGGTGGCCAAAGTACGGCCCGTGGACCACATGCGGCCCGTCAGTCAAAAATCAAGACCCTATTTTTGCGGCCCGCCAATCAAAATTGGCTAGAAAACACCTTGTTTTTTACGGCCCGACACCAACCATAATCCATATTAATATGTAAAAAGTAACATTAAAACTGAGAATAGAGTGATGTAAAAACAGTGCTTGGAGGTTTTTGGAAGCTTACTGGAAACATCAAAGTTTGGGTGCGGCCCTCGGTGTTAAATCAAAAATTCACTTTGGCCCTCGGACCGATTTCTATGCCCACCCATGGCCTAGATAGAATCTATTTTTTTTACTACAGCAGGCCGCCTAGCCTAGGCCTACTTACTGAAAGAAATGTCACATCGCAGTGACGTTTAAAATTAAATTAAGGAAAACTTAATTTAAAATCTAAAAGAAAATCATGAATCACTAAATCCACCGAACCTGCCTAATAAGCCTTGAAAGATGGATTTCCTAATCATTATTTTTCTTTTTATTATTATGTAACAAAAATGTTTTGTTTGACAGCTGTGACACAGTTCGTCTGCTGCGCTCGCCTGCTCCTCCCGTGATGGAAGAATGTGCTCAGCCAGGCACTCGAAAAATACTCTACCCTACAAACAAGGTTGATTCATCTAATAATATTAATGTTTTTATTGAATATAGTACCTACAACAATCTCTTTTAAAGAAACACATATGTAATAACAATCATAATTTAAGTAACAGAATGTACATATACTCACGTCAATCGTGTAAAATGATAAAATTAAATAGTTTCGTTTGCAACCCTCTTTTCCAGTTTCAAAAGCGAATGAGGGGCGCTGAAATTCGGATTCGGAAATGTAATTTGTTTTTAATAAATAGGTGGCGCTACATATGTTTTTTTATTTCAGGCATTTCAAGATTGTAATTCTATTAGCCAAAAAAGTTTGTGTTGCCAAGCCAGACCAACACCAAAATCCATAGGCGTAGATCTCGGGGATAGGGGGATATATCCCCCAATATTTGACAAGGGGGATGGTCCATTGTATCATCCCCGTCTCTTATACACATCTAGATGTGTATAAGAGACAGGTTAGAAGGTTCGGATTCGGAAATGTAATTTGTTTTTAATAAATAGGTGGCGCTACATATGTTTTTTTATTTCAGGCATTTCAAGATTGTAATTCTATTAGCCAAAAAAGTTTGTGTTGCCAAGCCAGACCAACACCAAAATCCATAGGCGTAGATCTCGGGGATGGGGGGATATATCCCCCAATATTTGACAAGGGGGATGGTCCATTGTATCATCCCCCCCAATATTTTGACTATGTATGGGATAAAATGGAGCTTTACACACTTCAAAAGACTGTCACAGAAATAATTTGCAATGTCTTATGCGCTTACTTACAAAGATGAAAATTAGCATAGGCCCTAATTAATGTTGATAACAAAATTATTTTATCTGGTACCAATCTAGGCTCTTCTTTCCTTAAATGTTAGATGTGCTTGCAAAGCAAGCCACATTTTCACACTGAAGGGTGTGTACGACATCAGTAATTTTATGTCAATTCCAAGAATTTTCAATCATCCCCCCCACCCCAATGAAAAATACTTTTCTACGCCACTGCCAAAATCACCCAAAGTCTATAGCCTTTTTTTTCCTTTTGCAAAAATATAGATTTTTTCACCAAAGAAACAACACAAAAATTGTGGGGTTTTAAGAGAGAGCACATTTTGGGCTCGATCCCGTCTGAAAAAGAAGAAGAAGGGAAAAAAAAGAAAAAAACACCTCTGCTCTGGAATTGTAATATTTACGTCTGTAGGATACGTCTGTTGGCAAGGAATTTTCGAATGAAAGCTAATAATTTAACTTACTTACGGCTACTTAGGCCTGCACACTAAGCAATTCAAAAGTTGTTTTAGCATGTAACAAAAGGATGAATTTTAGCCGGTAGTTTTACCACTTCACCAGCCAAAATACATTGTGTTTTTGGACAATAGGGAAGGAGTACTGTACTAAAGAAATCCCGAAGGTTTTCCAGCTTATCTTTTGCTCCACTATGTGTGATATCATGGGTTGGCCTAATCGAGTTCTACTTGCTGCCCTGCAAATTTTCTATTGTAGTGCTAATTTTATGGGAGAAGAAGCGCACCCTCCCCCCCCCCACCTCCAGCCTACACCCTTTAATAAGCGGTTAGACGCTTATACAGGGCATCGTGATCTTCGGCGTCCAAACTATTAATTTATAACAGGCCTATCCAATTCAGGCCAGAATAAAATTTTGTTATCCCCGAAAAATATCTCCTTACTTCTCCGACAGGAAGCCTGCCCAACGGTGGGGGGGGGGGGGGTGGTCCCTCCTATCTACCTCCTTTTGCAGCGCTGCTGAGATACAACACTGTATTCGACGCACGCTAAACAGAGATCAATGTGTATCATGTGTCGAAATCCTACACTGGCGCCACCACTATTTCAAAAGTCAATATACAGTATATACCTCGTGAAAAAGCCAAATTGAAGCCCCACCCCTTTTTGTTACAAAAACTAGCATCGAAAAGATTCTTTTATTGTCTGAAATAAAACTCAGAAATTGCAATCAATGGCAAGGTAACAAGTGTTAATATCATATAAAAAATAAAGAAACAATTACAAAAATATAGAAACTAATTAGCACCAAACAATATCTAGTCAAGATGAACATGCAAAGAAAATTAAATACAATTACACGTTAAACTTAAACTAAACTTAAACTTAAACACATTAAACTTACTACTGTACTACTAATTAAAACTACAAATTATCTATTAATATTGTTATTATAAAGGTGAATGGAGTTGGGAACAAAGGAGTTTCTATAACGGCAACGTGTGGTGGGTGGTACATTTAGACGGAAACTTGAGTTGTTAAAAGTAAATTCATTATGTAGTGGATGAGTTGTGTCGGTCATTATTTTCTTAAGTTTAGCTAGTGTGTATTTTTCATAAATATAATCTAAATGTATAATGTCGTCTTTAACAATTTTCTTAACAGTCTTCCTGATGGAGTCTAATTTCTTTATATTTTGTTTAGTCAGGTTTTCATATGTACAAATTAAGCAGTAAGTTAAAACACTCTGTATTATTGCATTGTAAAACAAGATAAGAATGGTGTTGTCTACATTAAGCTTCTTAAGTTTTTTTAGAAAATACAATCTTTGCTTGCCTTTTGTCATAGTAATAAGAAGCCCATCTAGGTGATTTAATGCTGGTTAATACTCTCCATGACCAGATTGATGTTGCAGTGGCCTTATTTATAGCATAGACCTTATTAATTAATAGGTCCGTGTTTATAGTTTTATAGTAATTCCCAAAATTTAATTTCCATCCCTCCCAATCCACCCTCTACCCTTTACTTCGCAAAAGTAGCCTAAAAAAAATCTCGTGTCGAAAAGAAGCCCATTCAAAGTTCGCAAAA